AGGGCCTGGGCCCCCCACGGGACCAGCAGACACAGAAGAGTCAACCTTCTTTTGCATATCCACTGCAGACCCTTGGAAATGCCCCAACATGGAACAGAAAACTGGCTGGGGACCCCTGCACACCTGGGGGGCCCCCGCCCTGCGTCCGGCAAGAGTGACCCGGGCGAGCGCAAATGTTTAGGGGTCCCCCAGATCAGCCGACAGTTCGGCCAAGTGAACCCTGAGGGGCCCCACTGAATCTTCTGAGCGCCTTACCATTGGGCCGAAGGCGGTTAGTGTCCGCTGCAGCCTACCACCGCGTGGGCCCCTCTAAACCAAAATCAGGAAAAGGCTGTGTTGCTTCCAAAGTAGGTCGTCAAAGAGTGAATCTTATATAGATATTTATGGATGCAACTCTAAAAATCTGAAACANTCCAAAGTAGGTCGTCAAAGAGTGAATCTTATATAGATATTTATGGATGCAACTCTAAAAATCTGAAACATGCGAATTTGCAGCAGCAGTGAGAAGATGTGCAGCCTCCTCGAAGGCCCCGACAACGGGGGGCCCCACCACCCTACCTTCATTGAACCATCAGAAGGGAACCTGCCCACTTTTAGAGTTACTTCAAGCCTGACGTAAGTAGCATAGTGTATTTGTCGTAGCTATAACATTTGCTTTCTTTAGTATCCCATTTGCGTGGAATTACCTGGAAACTTCTTGTGTGTTGTATATTGCCGTGTGCTGTGTAGAGTGTGTCACGAAGGGTGTGCAACTTTGGGTTTCTATAGGCGTGGGACTTACTTATTTGTGACGGGAACACAGGGGATTCTCGCTAGGCCAAAATGGGGAACGAGGGCTGTGTTCCAGAGAGATTTGCTAGAAGGATTCAGATCGAGATAAGGGGAAGTAAGCGTTTCCTTCAGTGGAACATACCGTCTGGTTTATTCTAAGTCAACAACAGGACCGAAGAACTGAGGGCTCGCTTATCAGCGGCACTTCTTCGCGCTAGCAGTCCCTTCCACGGTCCAAGCCCCTTGCCACCTTGTCGTCTGCGTGGTCTCGGGGACGCTGACTAATTCCCCAGTGTAAGCTTTTCCGTGATTGGAGTGTCGTAGGGAGCCGAATTTGCTGAGAGTAAGGTGTTAGGAAGCTACCGGCTGCCGTTCTGCGTAGCTGCTGGTGAGGGTAAACTCCAGCCCCTGAGTGTAGCGTGTTCTGCCTACAGTTAGCACAGGAACATTCATTTGGCCTTGGTAAGTTGCCTGCGAGCAAATACAAACGCTCTGTGTATAGTGTATGCACAGGCAAAACCTGCAGTAAAGGAAGCTTCGTCGATAGTCCCCTGTGTTGAGAAGGATCCTTACGTTCACGTGCCGTCTTGAGAGATCCCTCGGTCCAGCCGCTTCTACATCATCAGCGAGCAGCATACGGCCTTGCGTGCCTGACTGCAAGACTAGGGCTGAGGGCGCGGAGGGGGGGGGGTTGCGAAACTGACAATAACTCCGAACACATGAGCCTGTCTGTATGCCCCCTATCTTTCTGAGTGCCGGGCTCGCGTGCTGACGTTTCTTGTCTCTGGTCTTCTGGGAAGGGCGGGCAGCCACAAAAAAGATCCCCATAGGCCCTGTATCTGGTTCATTTCCAAACGTTTACTTTCTTTTCCACTAGAGTGATGAGACTAGCGCTACCTCCCTCCCTTAAGCATAACTACTGTACCCTCTCTGCGAGTTTCACCCTTTCACCCCGCAACTCCCTTTCCAGCGCTTAGGCAGCTACGCAGTGCCTTGTGGACCGCCCTGTTGTGAGCCAATTGTATGCAACTAGAATGCGCAACTGGATTTCTGTTCACAAAGCACTGAAACTTCTCCAATTGCTCTACTGATGATTTCCCTTCTCATTTCGCTTGAATCGGCTACAAGCTGTTCCTGAGATCACCTGGGGATAAACTTAGTCTACCGTAGCTTCCGCAGTCCGAATGAACTCCCAAAAGGTGGTACCGGCATTGTCGTGACTCTGTTTGCAAAACAGGGTGATTTCAAGTAGCAACCACAGATCCTAGAGTGCATTTTAGGAGCAAAAAAATATGCTGACGGGAACAAGGGGTCAATTGACTGCCCCTTGATCCTGGTGCGCGTTATGTCTGGAAAGTGGGAAAAGGTGGACGCATTGTTTATAAATTGTCTCCGCGGCAAAAACATCGACAGCTGTACGCGCTGCGAAAGTGCCCACGCTCCAATGCGAGAAGGCGCCTAGCCCTTCATCACCTTCCCGCTGGGGGGCAGACATTGCTCAATCTCCATTATCCGAGAGGAGAAAGAGTTGAAGTTAGGCCAAGATTATAGCGCCGTCGCGACTGTTCAATGCTATACACCATGCTGCCCACATGTGGGGTGGAATTCGCTGTTCACACGGGCCCTTTGTCAACCGTGCAGTGTTACCAACCATATCTCGTTGGATCTAAGCTGATGACCGTCGTGCGAAGCCAAGGTAGGTATTTCCCTATCTCTACTCGACATAGTTTATGGTCGACATTACGACGGTGTGCCAAATACTGGAGGGAAGGCCAAGTGCTTTACAGGGAACCCTTAAGGGTTCCCTCTAAACTGGAGCGAAGCACTTGGCCTTCCCTCCAGTTCCCACCCCTCCTGCTCACTTGGACCGTGGCTTTTGCTAATGACAGCGCAACCCACTTTCCCTCGCCATCTGCACCAACACTCTGAGAAATTTATAAAGATTTTTTTGGACCTAGGTAGGCAGGTTGCGATGAAGTAGAAACACACATCTCAACTTTAGACAGACCGTGATAAATATGACTGGNAGGTAGGCAGGTTGCGATGAAGTAGAAACACACATCTCAACTTTAGACAGACCGTGATAAATATGACTGGCCTTCACCGGGTGCCCACTGGTTACCAATGGGTAAACCCGCAAAACTTTGCGCATGTTTGCATGCCTCTTTTATAAATTTGAACAACCCGTTTGTCAGTTGTTTCTGTGTTAGGACTACGGTGGCTGTACAGGACGCTCCAGCGGCAGCCGTTGGCGCAGCCCTCGAGGTGTGGGGTTAGCGCCTCATGGACTCGGGGCTCGCAGGAATTCGTCCTTCCGCTGCTGACTGGGGAGGTATCATCGGCTTGATCTAAAGGCGGAGCTGCGGAATTCAATGTGATTTTCTTCATTTGAAGGTGTTCGGGACGGATTTGTTGCGCAAGTCTGCCGCAGGCGGTACTGCGGAGCTGTAGTTACGAGTACGAAGGGTAGGACTAGTATGTCTACGAAGATGCTTACAGAAAAGGCGTCTAATCCTGATATTGCTTCTTCATTTAACGGCCATGAGGGGGGGTTGAAAGACGACCGTGCCTGGAAGACCGTGCTCCACAGCCTGAGGTCTCGCTCACATGCAAGACGCGATGGTCTCGGGCGTTCGCTGTTGGTTAAGTTCGGAGTCGTCGTCGCTAGCTTAACCTTCGCATTCCTGCTAGTTCAATGCGCCCGCGCATTCTCTGCATTGAGGGTGTTTGGCAGTCAGACTAGGTTGCTCGCGGGGGGGAGTTTTCTGTATCCTGTCATAGGATGCGGACCCGAGAGTAGTTTTGTCTATGATTTTGATGGTGACAGGTCGGCAAATAGTGGTGCAAGAACAGGTGCTTTGCTAGACCTTACGGCTTTTTTGTCTGGATATTCAGGCGGAGTTTCCGTTGCTTCTGAAGAAGTAACGTGGGACCCATCGCCGGAACCCCCGGTGAATGTGCCTCCCATCGCAGATCCAGGGCCCGGAGGTCTTTGGCTTGTAGCGACACCTCCCCCCGAGCCGGAGCCTTCGGGTCCATTTTATGGAGTTCCCGTTGGCGAGCCGTTGAAGTCTGGATATGCGGAAGGAAGTGGTTCAAACAACACTAGACCTCCGTCTGATACACTTAGCAATGGTATTTTACTGCATGGTGCGGCCAGCTCCGTGGGTACCCCATCCCCCTTGCAAGGAGCGACCGGAGACGCTCAGAGACGAGGGTCTCCCAAACTTGGCCCATTCGGCGTGGTTGCCGGAGGCTACGTGCAGTCACCTCTTCTCGGTCAGCCACCTAGTAATACCCCTCNTGGAGGAAGTCGCTCCTCACCCTTAACTGGTGGGCAAGAGGGCATCATTAGGTGTATCCACAGCGTTTCGAGCCAGAGACGGACAGGCTCTGACGTGACGGGTGCCTCCTGCTGCGAAGACACCGACCGCTGTTACAACTCTGTGCCTTGTACGTGCGGCGGGTACGAGGTTCGGTTAGTCAGGCGAATGTGGGAAGCACTATGGATAAAAGGGTGCACAGCGTGATGCTTTCGAATGCTGCAAAGCACGTTGTGGCTGCGATGAGGCGGAACAGGGCACATTGGAGCTGTAGCTGCGCGCCGAGGACAGATGGCTGATGCTGGGATGTTCTGTCTTCTGATTCGGATCGTGGTTCTACACGAGCTATATTTGCGCCTGTTCGCGCTATAATTTCATATATTGGAATCAGGATGATCCGGCCTACCTGCGGCATGCGTTACTTCGTTCATGCCGGCAAAGTGACTCAGCCCCAGCTGCGAAAGTTCTTTACCTTGAGTAATTGTTCCCGCGGGTCCCGGTGGCACGGCTAAAGGCGGTTCAGGTCTCCTGCATATGTGGGAATGCACATTGGCGACTCAATCGGCTGTGCTCCATCAGCGGTGCAGGATTCACTTTTGAACAGTGGGGCCCTGCAAGGAGTGGGGATCAGCAGCTAGTGTGTTTGTAGTGGCATTATCAAGGGAACTTATTGTTTCTTTGAACAGTCGGTCCAACGTACTTGGTTTTCGAGGGCCGCCCATTATCATGTCAATTTGCTATGAAGAGCAGTCTGC